AATGCCTTCCTATCTCTCCATTATTCACCATGGATTAGCCACTCTGCGACCTGGCAGAGAGGTTCATCATCCCGTCTTCTGCCAGGACTGGCTAATCTATCGCGAGCAACGGAGTGATAGGAAGGCTCTGCGGAACTCGTGGCAGCGGCGGAATTGTGAGTGGGGTGGCTGGACCTGCATTATCTGCATTATCTATTAGCCTTTGCCTTGCTTCGGTTTGAACTCTAACTCCCTGTTGTTCCTTTTATCTCTTGACTCCCTACTTTCGTATTCCAATCTCCTATAATGAGAAGAACATCTTTCTTTGGTGTCAGTTCTAGAAGGTGTTGTAAGTCTTCATAGAATTGGTCAGTTTCAGTCTCCTCAGCGTTGGTGGTTGGTGCATAAACCTGGATGACTGTGATGTTGAAAGGTCTGCCTTGGATTCATATTGACATAATTCTATCATTTTTTAGATTATATCCCAGTACAGCTTTTCCCACTCTTTTGTTGGCTATGGGCGCTACTCCATTCCTTCTACAGGATTCTTGCCCACAGTAGTAGATACGATAAACATCTGAATAGAATTAGCCCATTCCTGTCCATTTTAGTTCACTGACATCCAGGATGTCAATGTTCATTCTTGCCATCTCCTGTTTAACCACATCCAGCCTAACAAGGTTCATAGATCTTATATTCCAGGTTCCTATGCAATATTTTTCTTTGCAACATTGGACTTTCCTTTCACTTCCAGGCACATCCACAGCTGAGTGTCCTTTCGGCTTTGGCCCAACCCCTTCATTAGCTCTGGAGCTACAGTACTTCTACTTGTCCTCCGCTCTTCCTTAGTAGTATGTGGGACGCCTTCCGACCTGAGGGGCTCATCTTCCAGGGTCATATCTTTTAGCCTCTTGTTTCTGCCCATGGAGTTTTCTTGGCAAAGATACTGGAGTGGCTTGCCAGTTCCTGCTCCAGGTGGATCGTGGTTAGTCCGAACTCTTGACTATGACCTGTCCATCTTGGGTGTCCCTGCATGGCATAGCCCATAGCGTCTCTGAATTACTCAAGCCCCTTCACCATGACAAGTTAGCAATCTGTGAAGGAGATAAGTACGAATACCCCCATCTCTACTCCTGATCCTTGAAAAATCCATGCAAAAAAAAGCAGTCATTTTGAGCAACTTTTGCTACCCGTGTTAAAGCATCATTTGCTGAACTGTGCTTAATTTGAACCCAAGAACCTCACATCCATTCACTTCGCCTGTTCAAAAAACCACAGAACACATGTAGGCCATGGAGGCTAATTTTGCAGTTCCTCAAAACTTGCATGAAAAGACTAGTGAGAATTTTCTTAATTGGCCTTTGCCAGTGCCAACTAAGCAGAGAATCTACTTTTCAACGCTCAGTTATCACCTACATAAATCCCACTGAGTCAATATATCTGCTCTAGAAGAAGCAGGCCACTATCCCTCAGCCTTTACATTGTCACTTGCTGTTCGGTCCTCAGTGGCTCCACACAGTTAAGGGAATGTGTAGATTATTCCAACCACATAGCTGTCTCCGAGTCTGTATACTTCCACAGCCATCAACCATGATGCCTCCAGCACACACATGCATCAACAAATGGCATATTCCCACTCCAGGAGTTACCAGAAAGACCACTACACTGGCGAGGGCACCTACCCAAATGAGGTGCAATCCATGTGTCAGTTCAGAAAGTATTTTTCCAAGATGGAGGTACTTCCAATAGAACTCAGACCACAAGACCCACTGTCATGGCACTTCATTCTCTTACCAGTTCTTCCAAATTGCAGCATGGTTTCTATGGGTACACACAGATTGAGAATCCGTGAAGTGGATCAACTTCCTGATTCAGATATATGTTGCCGGAAACACTTTTAGCATGTTACCAAATATAGGCGGGCAGAGTCATATGAAGGCTTGGACACCCCTTTCTGAATGGATATGGGGAGTCAGTTATCATTGACACACTAGTCGGCTTCATAACGGCCAGAGCATGGGAAAATGAATTTCCGATTACAACCTCAGCCAGCCGTATTGGTCAGTAGCCATACTGGCAGGGGTACAGTGGTGCCCTGCAAGACTATGTTAATTCATTCCATTGAAATCGTTGTTGTACGAAAACATCGTCTTGCGAAAAGCATTTCCCCATTGGAATGCATTGAAATCCATTTAATGCGTTTCAATGGGGAAGAATTGTCATCGTCCAGCGAAGTTTGCCCATAGGAAAGCCACTTTGTGAACCGCCGATCAGCTGTTTAAATCGGTGTCTAGCGAAAAACGGGACCGAAAACACCCGTTTAGTGAAGCTGTCAAAATCATCAACTAGCGAAAAATCAGTCCTGAAAAAATAGTTGTCTAGCGAAGCACGGACTGAATCATTGTCCAGCGAAAATCCCCCATAGGAAACACTGTTTTGTGAATCGCTATAGTGATCGCAAAAAGTCATCGTCTAGAAAAAAAAACATACTGCAGGGTAATCGTCTAGCGAGGTACCACTGTATTCTGGAAATTACAGTCTCGAATAGTAACCTTTCTGTGCTCAGGGAAACATTAAGGGTAACTCCACAGGGAGGAATCTAACTTTGATGTGAAGCAGCATCAGAGACCCAACATTATATGTGGAGTTCCATGAGGGGACTTTCTCTCCTGGGGCCCCCTGACTATGGAATGCCCTCCCTGTGGAAGCTTGGCGACACTTCACAGTGGCACCATTTTGATGCCAATTTTAAACTGGCTCTTGATCAATATTTGGGGGGTGTGGAGTTTTAAGTTGCCTGACTTGATTAAATTGTGTCACTTTGATCTACCATACACTGTGTTAAGTCGTTTTGAACGGCTTCATGTGGTTTCCAATGATTTCTCACTGTTCTAAATTGTTCATGGCTCTAAACGTGTTTGCAACCTGCTGAGACGTTCTGAGATACGGCAGGATATACATTTTAAATATTAAACATTAAATAAATGCAACGAAAACAGCAGTAGCAGAATGCTCCTCTGCAGACATATTCTTGTGGACGGTGGTGGTAGAAAGATTCTTTTCCTTGAGGCTGAAGATTTGTCTCTGGTTCTTCTCTTTGAATATCAACAACTGGAAACAGAGCCTTGGTTAAGCTAATCACTCTTAATTATTCACTGAGCAGCAAAACACCTCCGAGTCCTTTGCATTACATTAGGGACAGCGTGTAGCAATATATGGTTCTCAGGAAAATTACAGCTGCTCTGAAGATCTGCAGCTAAGCTCATGGGGAAGAAGGAAGCTACGGGAGATGGGCAATGTCACAGATCCTGGTGCTCAAAATGACCAAGGGATCTGACCTTTGGAGCCTTTACTTCACTACAGCACTGGAATCATGGCTTGGCAATCAGACTTGCAGATTAGCCCTATGTTTACACTCCAGTGACCAATCACAAAATAAAACAGCAAAAAGCTAAGTGCAAGATACGTAATGGAGGAAAATCATGGGCTCTGTCAAACAGCCACCTTTCACCACATGAGGCCGCATCTCTTCTAAAAACACGCTGAGTGTTTCATCTACAGTCACTCCATCCTATTCTCACCTCCTAAAAAAATTGCTGCCATCCAGGTTCCAACCCAACCATCAATCACTTCCTCCTAGCACATTGCAGTATTCCATCCTTTTCTCATCTCCACCCACGCACCCAAACTAGCACTCAGTTTTTTCAAGACTAATAGGGTGCTGAAACCTCGCTGAGCTGTCCATTTTTGGCAGGTGCACCGTTTGGGTTTGTTTTTTAAAAGATAAGATTTCTTTTCCTGGTATTTCTGCAAAAATGTGGATTCCCCTCCCCCCCAAGGACCCCGAAACCTCCTCCTTGTTTTTGAGTAGTCAGGTTTTAGTTCAGATTCTATTGGCACTCACTGAGTCTGCTACCAGAGGACTTGAGAATATGCCAAGGATTTCAGGCAGGACTCCATAGCAGCCAGGTTCCCACAGAAGGAAATGCACCACACAGGTAATGTTACGTACAAACCCTACACCAAGCTTAGCACCTGGTCAAGTGGCTGGTGAACCAAGAGAATTCTATCTGGCCCTATAAAGTATCACCCTGAGATCTGCTCTCTAGTCTGAGTAACAGGAATGCTACTAGACTACAGCTGTCCGTGCTTCCACGCCCCCGTAGTTTAGCAGTTTTGTTGCTTGAACAATGCCGGTGGCCCGCAACCTTTTTTCCTCCAGATATTTTGGGCTTCAACTCCCAGAATGTCTGACCACTGTTAGAACTTGAATTCCAAAACCTCCAAATGACCTAACACTGAGAACTGTTGGTTGTCGCTGGCTCTATACTCTAATAACTTGTTCCCTAATAAACACGGGGTTCTTGATCCTACAGTCCTTTAGAATGTTGACTTACTAATGGCAATAAAATTCATCCCCCCATCTCCTTCAAAGCACCCAAACTAGAGATGAGCACGAATCATTTGTGCTCGGCCGTCCTAAGTCGTTGGCATGGCAATTGTGGTGCCGTGCGTTCCCTTCCCCAGCACCCTCTGCTGGTTCCCCCACTCACAAACCAGCGCGTGCTGCTCATTCTCTCCTCTTTGCACAATCTTCCAATCCCAGCAGGAGCATCAACTTCCCTTCTCTAACCTCCCCCAGCAGCTGACCACTGAAAGGCAGCACTGCAGGAATCTTGTCCCACCTCCTCGCCTGAGTGGGCAGCTGCTGGAGGAGGCAGAGATGGGAAGTCCATGCTTCTGCCAGCACTGGAAGATTGCATGAGGAGGAGGAGGGAACGAGCAGTGAACATTGGCTTGTGAGTGGGGGAGCCGGGGGGGGTTGTGTGATATCTGGTATACCTTAAACAACTCAGCACGAAGTGAACTCGTGCCCAACTCTAACCCAAACTGATTCAAACTCCACCACTCAAGTTCAAAGCTTTGACATTCAACACCACGAGACATGGCACCAACCTACCAATCACCTAATGGTGGACCTGAGCTACCAGCTAATGTGCCCAGCAATAGAAATCACCCACCTGGGGCAGCATGCGATTTTCCTCCTCCAGCTGTCTTACTCTTGCTTCCAGCTGCCTAACATAGGACAAGGTTGGTTCTAAAATTAAAAGAGACAAAAGAAAAAAGAGCTTGTGTTACACACACAGGTTGGCTACTTCAGCATACGCGAAGTCAGAGAAGCTCGCTGGCAGTGGATTTCCAGCCAGCTGTCTTCTTCACAGCGGTCACTCGGGACTGAACACTAATGATATATGGTTTAAGCCATTAGGTTTTATTGGTCCCTCTGGAGCAGTATTTCCAAATGTTAGCTGAAACACCAAGTCCTCTAAGACTAGTAACTGTAGCCAGGATCAGCTCAACATTTTGTACAGCCTCTGAGTTATTGACCCCCAAGGGCCAGTTTGGAATTACTTGGATTATGCAGAGGCATTCTTTGCTCACTGATCTTTAGCCATGCCAAGTTTTGTAAACACGTGGTTCTTATAAAGTTCAGGCCCATTTAATAAGGCAGTTATAGAGCAGAGATGGGCAAGCGCCCAGCCTATAAATCATTTGGGTTGCTTGATTGTTCCACTTTAGACCAGAGCTTAGAAAATGACGAGCCCTTTCACAACCCACCAGCCAGTGGGAAGAAGAGAGAGGAGATTTAGCCCCCAAACATCTGGAACAGTATCTGAACAAAATCCTTTCTTTGGCCACCGCGCCTGTAATTAGCTAGCCTAAAACCTCTAGAATTACAGACATTCTAGCCTGCAAAAAGGCACTTTTCCCCAAGCTCTAGATGATATTTTAAACAGCTTACTTTGAACAGTATTTCTAACAGGTTATACTGAACAAGCTGAACAGCCTAATTTGCATTAACCCTTGAAACGCCAGGAGTCTCTTTGGCATTAACGCAAGCTGAGATCATTAGTGCCCAAACTCGCAGGCAGCCTAACATGGCTAAGGAGATTCTCCATAGGAACATATTTGATCTCTGCTCAGCTGGGCGCTTTGACAGTAAAAGAAAAATGGAACAATTCCAAGAAATAAGCATCCATTGAGGAAGGGGGTCCAAGGCCAGCTTTAAATAGAGGCAACCTTGATGGGAGGGGGGTCCTGTCTTGATCTGGAAGATCTTTCTTTATTTGAGCTAAGAACCATAGAAGAACATATATTTCTTGAGTATACAGGCAACATACAGTACATGCTCACAGACACATGCGCCAATCTGTATGTTCCTTGGGCACAGCATAGGAAAGAGCCTACACAGTTGTAGTCTGTATAGACAGCTTTTTCACATGTCATGCTAAGGGTGCGCAGACGGGGCAGCATGGACAAACCAATTCTCTTCTTTGCATGTCCTGAGCGGACACCCATCTCACAGATGTGGAGCCACTCTGTGACACCAGTACATAACTGGTGAGCTCACTTATTACTTGGTGATAACAAGGTATCTCCCAGTTTTGATCTTACTGCATCTCGGTGATAACAAGGTGAGTATCTCCCAGTTTTGATCTTACTGCATCTGTCCAAATTCCATCTGGAATTCCATTCCATCCTTGTTCCATGCTCGGTTGTGGAATGGTGTGTTTTCTCTCACTAAAATCCATGTACTGCGATTTAACATTTTTCCAGCGCACTCATTCACTTGCACATTCTACCTAACTTGGGCAGTTTCCCCACATTCATTAAAACATGGGTCCCTCTGTGTTGTTTTAATTAAATCAAGGATCTAGATATTTGCATTCTAAAATATGTACATTGTTACAGGAACACTTTTCCCCTACAAAATGTGCTTTAAGTCCAGCAAAAATGAGAAATCTTGAGGTGAGACAGCATTCTTGGGAGGTGCAACACTATTAGTTTTGTCAGTCCTGTTGAATCTGACAAAAATCTCTTCCATCTTTAAGTTGCATCGGCTTGGGAAAGGGAAGCAGCATCCATTGATCGGTCTGCACAGATTTTCTCTTTTTCCTTTGGCATTTCAGCAACAGGTATAACTGGAAATAGGTGATTTGAAGGGCTGGACTTCAGATGAACGGGCCAAGATTACGAACTCTTTTGAGGAGCTCGCTGTGTAAGTCTGGAGGTTTGCTAGAGTTCTGGGTACATACAGTCATGGTCCAAAACATTGGCACCCTTGCAATTCTGTCAGAAAATGCAATTCTTCTCTCAGAAAATTGTTGCAGTTGCAATGTTTTGGTACTCACATGTTCATTTCTTTGCTTTGTGCTGGAAAAATGCAAAAAGAGAGAGAGAGAGAGAAGAAAAGTCAACACAGAAACCCAAAAATGCACTGGCCAAAATTATTGGCACCCTTAACTTAATATTTGGTAGCAACCCCTTTGAAAAAAAAATTGAAATCAATCGCTTCCTGTAACCATGAATGAGTTTCTTGCATCTCTCTATTGGAATTTTGGACCACTCTTCTTTTGCAAACTGCTCCAGGGCCTTCAGATTTGAAGGATG